TTTGCTGGCTAGCCAGTCTAGTGCCAGGGTTCTACAAGTGCCTAGGTTCCTTGAGAAACCTAATCTCAAAGGTGCAGAAGTAACTATGAAAGACATCTGACATCAAACACTGGTCTCTGTGTGAACAAGAACACCTGTGCACACACGCACAAACTCATACACCAAATACATACACACATGCACAAACATGTATGCATACATAACTTTTTCTTCAAGATAAAAAAGAATGGAACACAGGCAGAAAGAAAGTCTCACCTCAGAAAACAAACAAAAGCACATAGAAATAAATAACAGCCCACACAGAGACTGCAGACCACAGATGTGTTTCTTAAACTGTGTAGACAGTTTAAGAAAAAATTTCGAACCAACTATCAAAATGTGAAAACTGGAAAATTTCCCTTTCAAGAAATAATATGTATTATTTGTATTTTCTTTAGCAAGGAAATGAAGGAAAGAAAAATCTGGCAACAGAAAGCTGAAGCTGAGGGGCCCTAGCAAGACAGAGCTTGGTGCAGAAGTCCGTTTCCTGTGGTGCCAGCCATACCTGGGTTCCACTCCATTTGTGATTTCAAGTCCTTCATCTATTGCTTTCAACAGATTCCAATGGAATCTCAGACCCAAATCACAGTCACAATGCTTAGAAAGAGGTGGCCTGTAAAGGGTGGCTGTTTGTTTCATGGGTAAGGCAAGTGAGGTTACTTATGAGTCCAGAGGCCACAGAGCCAACAGGAGAACATGGGTTCTTTCCATTGCATTCTTTTCTTCAGTGCTAAAGGCCCTTGTACATGCCAGGCAAGTGTTCAGACACTGAACTGCTGCCCTAGACCTCTCTTTTCTTTACTTCTGTTGCTAGTATCCCCAAATATTTGTCATTGCTATTTCTTTTCTTTTCTTTTCTTTTTTCAAGACAGGGTTTCTCTGCGTAGTTTTGGAGCCTGTCTTGGATCTCGCTCTGTAGACCAGGCTGGCCTCGAACTCACAGAGATCTGCCTGCCTCTGCCTCCCAAGTGCTGGGATTAAAGGTGTGCACTACCACCACCTGGCTTCTTGCTATTTCTTAATTCTTATTTAGTCCCAACAGAGAGAACTCCATAAAAAGGTAACACAACATCCATTCTGAAAACAGCACGTGGTTTTCAGACATTATGATCTAATCATGAGCAAAAAGTTCTGCCTTGCCCCCAAAATTAACTGTGGTTTGCAGGAGCAGCTGGAACTGGCCCTCTCAAGCCAGATGCCAACATCTCCCAACACTAAGGAGGGTGAAGAATGTCAAAATTAAACACACTAAGCAAAGACCCTTCTCCGAGGTCTCTTAACACATCTGCTATAGAAGGTACTTACTTTTCACCAAGATCTTTGCTTCCCTGGTTGGCTGTTCTGCTTAAGTAAAAAAAGGACCATTCGTAAGAAGTTACTAGTCCATAACTGGGCAAGTAAGAAACTATGGTCATCCAATGTCCTAGACTTTTGAGTCTGGCAAAGGAAATTCCATGGAATGTCCACATACAGTTTAAGGATGAGGCAGAAATAAAGAACAATCTAATTCACAAGATTAATCTTACCATTAGAAACCTGGGATATCTGATGCCCATCTGGCATGGGCTCTTTCCAGAAGATCTGGAGCCAGCATGAGGCAGAGAATGATAATACCTTCCTTGGTGAACTAATGAGTTCCCCATGGTGCCAACCATGCCAGGCTTGCACAGGCGACATACCCAAGGTCAGCAGGGGAAATGCAATGCAACCACATATGGGAAGACACCTTGCTGAGCTTTGAGTACCCTTCTTTCCCGGTCAAAACGGATTGTAGGGAACTGGAGATACGACTCAGTAGGCAAAGTACTTGCACAAGCACAGGATCTGAGTTTAATCCTTAATACTCACATAAGAAGTCAGACAGTGGTGCATGCTTGTTATCTCAATGCTGGGGAGGTGGAGGCAGGAAGTGTCCTGGGCTCCTAAATTAGCCAGCATAGCCGAGTCAGGCAAACAACAGATCCCAATGGGAGACTCTGTCTCAAAACAAAGTAGACAGTCATCCTGAGGAACAACACCTGATATTGACCTCTGGCCTCCACATGAATGTCTACACAGATGGACTGTAGGGCTGTGGCAATGGCAAGAAGGAACTGCTGGCCAAACCCTGAGAAGGCATCCAACCTCTAAGGCAAATCAAATGATTGCTTCTCACTGCTGGAAACTGATTGCGACACTCTGAAACAGTCTTAGAGTTTTCCTATAGTAGCCGTGACCAAGAACCTCTTCCACAGAAAAGCAGAAATGCCAACACTCATCAAGAGTAAGGGAAAGAAGTTTCCATGGTGGCAGGTCTTTAATCTTTGTGAGACCCTGAATCAAAAGACACTGAGAAAGAGTAAGTGTTGGGCTGCCCAAATCAAGGGGAAATTTTCCAGGGTACTCCATTACCACACTTTCCCCACTTCTACCTGAGTTCAGATTACACAATCATATCCAAAGTTTAGAAAAAGAAATCTCCTTACATAGTTTACGTGAGCATCTTTCTTTGATGTTTGATTTTGCTACTAGGTCTCACTCTGCAGCTGAAGTTGGCCTCTAACTCAGGATGTAACACAGGCTGGCTTAGATTCATGATCCTCCTGCATCTGCCTCCTAAGTGTTGGGATTATAAGCATGGACCATTATAACTGGTCTGCTTGTATTTGTCATTCTGATAAAAGATACATGATATAATATTTACTATCCTGTTTTCTAAGTTTGCAGTTCAGTATGGATTCATATATTCACATTGTTATGCAGTCATCTCTGGAACTCCTTCCTCTATGCTCCGAAGCTGGGACTCCAGACCCATGCAGCAGCTCCATCTTTCTGCTCTCCCTCCCCTGGCAATCATCACTCAACATTTCACTTTTATGAACTTGACATTCTTAAATATGTCATAAGTGGAGTCATATATTTGTCATATAACGGCCCCAATTTTCATTCATGTGCCAGCAAATGTCAAAACTTCTGTCCTTTTCAAGGCTAAAAGATTCTGTTGCATGTAGGCAAGTGTTGCATTGTTTGCCCATTCAGAAAGTCTACTTCTATCTCTCAAGGATACAGTTCTGAGGGAGGGTCTGATGGCATACATGCTAACGGTTATTACTGTACAGGGAGGGAAGTAAGGGAGAGACGCTTGACTGTATGACACGTGCACTCCAGGAAAGGGAAAAACAAAGCAAGCTAACTGTAGCAGAAGCTAAACTCAATACCATAGGGTTCATCATCCCTTCTTTATCTCAACAATAAAAGTCCCCTTCATACCACATTCCCAGGTTCTGAGCAAAGGCTCATCACATAGTTGACACTCCACAAACATGGGTTGGTTGAATGAATCTAGAAGAGTGATAATCATAAGGAGAAAATGCTGTATATATTATATGGTGTTAATTTGAGCAAGCACCATATGTATTGATCTGGACTTTTTTCCTAGAAACTATTAACAGCGCAATCTGATTCCTTTTACAAAAATGCACAAATTAAAACATGGAGATATACATAAATATATGTATGGATATATGTATGTACGTACACACACACATATATATATATATGTATATATATATATATCCTAAATAATTTGTTCCACTCATATAGTTACAAACCCCTCATGAGAAATAAGAAACAGTCAAGCAAATTCTCACAGGTTAAACTCAAATCCAATGAGTTAAATTAGGCAATCCAGATAAATAGCTAATGATATATTGGTTGTGGAGGAATCCAAAGCAAAGACTAGATTAGTGCATCAAAGTCATATGGGAGCCTGAGAGATGGCTCATCAAGTAAAAGTGTATAAAATCAATTGTTGCACAAGCCTGTAACCGAAAAATAATCCACAGGGGAAGGAGAGAACCAACTCGTGAAGCTATCATCTGCTCTCCACATGCCACCATGGCAATCCATATGATTTTATATATATAAAATATAATATATTATTATATATAAGTATAATATATAATATGTTTATATATAAATGTCTGTGTATATATATACATATATTTATGCACACAGGGACAAAGAAACCGAAGAATGCATTTCTCACTGAGTGGTTAAGAGTTGTATAGTTCTCTAGAACAAACTAGACCATCACCATCCCATGTCCGGCTAGATTTTTCCAAGTAGTCTATACCTGGGCTTGACTTCAAATCTCTACTTTCTCTTCAGTTTCGTTTTCTCCCCAAAGGAAGAAGGTTGGGAGAAGAATGATGGCACTCAGGACATTACTGGATTATTGTCAGGATGGAACAGTTAAGCCAGGCCTGGTGGTGTAGGCCTATTAGCCCAGCTACCGGAGAGGCTAAGTGAGTCCATGGGATTACAAGTTCAAGGTTAGTCTGGGAAACTTAGTGAGCTCCTTCTTCGGAAAAAAAAAAAAATTTAAAAGGATGGGAATGTAGCTTAGTAGTAGAGAGCTTGGGTACTGGAGGCTGTGGGATCAAATCCACACACAGGAGGAAAAGGAACGCTCTTGCAATTTGTCAAATACATCAAACATTATTCTAAGGGCACACGGCGTATCATATCCCACTTAATCTTCAAACAGTATTTTCCAGTTGCTCCAAATGCGAGAGCTGAAGCTAATAACTAAGCTCCCAGGGTCAATGGTGGTGATGGAGCCGAGATGCCAATTCAGGCTGCCTGAGAAGACAACAGAGAATGTGCTCTTACCAGCCAGGCCAGGCTGAAAAGAGCCAACGTGTGGCAAGCCTGAACTATGCCTGAAACACAACGGGCACAATAAGTGATATAATTTCTCACACAATGTATGGAAGTAAAGAAAAACCTGTAGAGATGATAGGCAGCTAGTGCCCCAGCAGTCTTAGAGGACACCCAGACACAGCACTCTGTTTTCCTCTAAAGCGCTGGACTGGGCGCTGTCACTCTCCACGACCTCGAAACCTCGATCGCGCCGCAGGGGTCCCCCGCAGGGGCAGTAGACAGGGGCCAAGACGGACAGCCTCAGACCCAACTTTTACCTTGACCTGCATTCTCACCGCCACAGGAGCCAAAGCGACAGCGGATTTTTCCGGGACCCGGACACCTCACCAGACTCGATTCCTCCAGGACTCCGTAGACCCGGACTCACACGCGCGCCCCGCCGCCGGGACCCCGGGTTCGGTTTCCGCTCGGCCACGACCCAGCTCTGGCCGGGTCCCAACTCCGGGAGGAAAGGCTGCGGGTCCTGCCCTTCGGGAGGGTCCACGAGGTTGCCAAAACTTCAGCTATGATAATCATCTTCGGGTGGAGACTAGAGGACTTGAAAGCTAGCATTTCGCAAATCCTACCTATTCTAGATCGCAGTTAGATACGCGTGCGCCTGGCTCCACCCACAGCCACCTGGGGCCCCGGGCCTGACCCGTGCAATACCAGAGAGTGCTCCGCCGCGGTTCCGCTTTCATCCTCGATTTTCCAAACTAGCTACCAAAACCTTGTCTGAGGACTGTGGAGTCAGAAAATCTGGGCTCCACCTTCACGGGGACACTGCCTTTTACAGCCCTGTGAAGTTATCACAGTACCTTTTGGGTTCTGTTACCTCCTGTGTAGGAAAGAGATGACTCCAAAGAAGTAGTCCGAGAATCGGAAGGGATGGTCACGGTCATCAGACAGATTTTAGATTCTTGGGTTAGAGCTGTATGTGAGAAGACACTCAAGAGTTTAGGTTCTTGGTGTTCTTAAACACCGGTGAGTTGATGAGCATGACAAAAGGCCCTTCTGGGACTCAGTTTACCTACCTATACAGAGAGAATAATAAAGAAAACTCACCTTTCTCACAGAGGTTACACTGAACAAAGTCAGTTACCTTGTTTGATCTATGAAGTCTTATACTAATGCTTTTTTGTGACTTCTGTTATGGGGACCCAGGGGTGGGGCGTAGAGGGGCACGAGGGGTGGTCCTCTGACCACACAGTCTTGTCTAGCTAGGGCTGTGGTCAGTGACTCAAGATGTATGTATCTCTCTGTGTTGGAAGAGGTGACACATGAGAGAGATGATGCTCAGCAGATTACAAATACTACAATGAACAATACTAGGCATTTATCCTGGACAGGTGACTTTAAATTAGTGGCACCTACTATTAAGTCCAGTCCAAAGCTTTGCCTGGTGAGCTCACATCTGCAGTCACAGTTAATAAAACTTGTTCCCTCGTTTCTCAGTGTGGTTTTAAAGTTCATCTCCTTGTTTGTTAGTAAGTTTGTATATTGGCATTTTGTTTTGTCTCTTAAAAAATGAGAAGTCCTTTCCTTTTGGTTTACCTCCTCCAATTGTTAACGGTCTGTAGACATCTAACATGCACAGATGGTCTTATGAGGCAAGCCAGAGCCTCCATCCAGACATGTGTCCTCCGTAGGTCATTTCTGAACCTGCTAACACCTCTCAGTGCCCTGTGATTGTGAATCTTCTACTTTAATCTCTCTGGCAGTTGCGGATGTTAGGGTGGTCACACGTGCTTTTCAGATCAAGCTTCAAGACACTTGGAGCCCAAGGTGACCCCTAAATGCTTTGACCAACTAAATGTGCTGGTTTACAAGACGCTTTGGTTCCAGGCTGTTTCAAAAATACTGGAGGCATTGGAATAAGTGTTTTACCAAACCCAGTGCAGCTGCTCACTGTACAGCTGGCCAGTTATGCCCAGAAAGGTGACTTGATTAGAAGAACCGGCTCAGACAGACGTTGGAGGATACCAGTCTCAAAAACCCAGCTGACTGAGGAGTGTCTTCTAGGAGCCATTAGTGGGTGTTTCCAGGCTATTGAGGACCTCCAGAGATACGGAGTGAGAGCAAAGGATGCGCAGCAGACTGGAAGGCCTGGTCGCAGATGAGCTCCTCTGCTCTGTGAATCTCAAAAACAATGGCCATTATTCCTTGAGGCTATTCGTGCCACTGACTAACTAAGAGGCTGCCTGAAGTCCTCTTGCTGTCCATCAAAGTCATGATAATGGAAAAAACGTATTATTCCACATGAATCACTGCACAGTCACTAGGAATATTTTCAATGCTGGGCTTCATTTGGCAGATCCTCAGACCCTCCCCTAGGACTTCCAAGGTAGAGCCCAGGCATCTCTTTCATAGTTCCCTCAATTCATTGAAAAAATTGTCTATAAAACTATCCTGGCCACAAACATATCTCTAGCTGGGAAGCTTAAATTTCAGAACATTCATTACTTGTCTAGGGTGGGCTGATTCAGACTGACAAATAGTCCCCCAAACACAGACTGTTTGACAGACCATGCTGGATGCCAGAAAAGTCAAAGGTGAGTAAGATACTGTGCAGCCTTCAAAGAGCTCAAGTTTACTAGAGGGTGAACAATCAAAACCGAAAGCACACCTGGAGCACCATCCCACGCCTCAGCAACGTCAAGGGCTTCTCTTCTCCTCCGTTGACCACACCCTGCCCTCTTGTTCTTCCTCCGTCCATCCTTCTCTTAGATTTTCTTCTCTTTTGTCTGGTCTCTCCTTTTACCCAGAGCTTTCTAAGTTTCAAGCCTTCTAATGTGCATGTGCACATGGGGAGTTTTGATGTCTGAGCTAACATCTCTTAAGCTAGGGCTTCAACATTAAAAGTCAAGTTAGTGAGTTTAGGGTGGAGTTGAACAGCTGATATCTTTTCACTGGGAAGGATGGTGCCCCAACCATGCTTTCATTTCTTAACAAGCCCCAAATAATCAAGAACATTAAGGGATAATTTCTAATATTCATATCCAACTCTGAAGGAGAACGGTTGCAGGCTTGGATTTGAATTTGGTTTTGGTTTCATTTCCTTTCCATGGAAGGATTGTTAGAAATTTTCCAAAGTAATACCTCGGATTCTTTGAGGACTGAGGGAAATGAGTGACTCTTTTTCTTCACACCAAGAAGAAAAGGCGCCATGTGTGGGAGCGGTCCTGCCCAGTTCGCTGCCATGCCTGGCTTACGATTCTCACACTGAGTCATCACTCTTGCTTTCAGAAGCACAGAGAACATAAAAAAAGTACAGTGCCATTCTGAAAGGTAATATACTCCAACCGCCACAAGCCCAGCTACAATTACAATAAGCAATTGTACAACTGGGGGAAATGTAGAATTACTGGTTATTAAGGGGATCAGAGTAGGTGTGGTGGCTTACACCTGCAATCCAAGCACATCAGAGGCTGAGGCAGGAAGGTTTCTGGGTGTTTAAGGCCAGGTTAGGTTTACAGAACAAAACCTTGTCTCAAAAAATATGTTTTTACAAGTTGGAGAAAAGTCAGTAATAAGGATGGAATTCAGCCCTTTCTGCATAACTGTTTCTGTTTTTAGACCTTTGTCCTGGCTAGTTCTACATCAACTTGTCACAAGAACTAAAGTTGTCTGGGAGGAGGAAACTTCGATTGAGAAAATGCCTCCATAAGATCATGCTGTGAACAGGCATGCCTGTAGGGCATTTTCTTTTTCTTTTTTTTTTTTTTTTTTTTCACATGGGAGGTTTATTGAGGGGAGGGGAGAGAAGGGGCAGAGAAGGGAACAGAGACTGGTACCTGGGGATGAGATGGAAAGAAGAGAGAGACAGGAGGTGTAGAAGGCCCGCCTTTTATAAGGAAACATAGAGAATGCCTGACAGGACCCTGAGGGCAGGCCAGTACAGATGCCTGAATGCCAACATTCTTCCCTTTTGTTTAGTTAGAAAGGGTAGCAGGTGAGGTGGGGATGAGGGTGCCCTGTTCTCAAGACTGCTTCCTGCTGGCCTGGGGGGCATCAATCATCTTTGCGGAACCTGAGAAAGCTGGGGTGCTGGCCACGTCCTGGGGTAGCTGGCTATTTCGCTTCACTGTCCAGGCTCCAACACAGAGGATTGGTTTTTGTGAGCTCCAGGGAGTTGAGTTGGATCGAGAGTCCCAGTGATCCGCTGGGTGGGAAAAGTGGGGCTGTCACCGGTGGCCCAGGTTCAGGGTCCCGGCATGTCTCAGACTGCAAGGAGAGCCTATCCAAGTCTAGGCACCAAACGTACTTTTAAACCAGCCGGGAGGAAGTCACACCATACAACAGGGCCCAAGTGGGAGGCTTACTGAGGGGAGGGAAGGGTGCAGAGAAGGGAGCAGAGACCAGTCGCTGGGGACAAGAGCGAAGGAAGAGAAAGAGACGGCCCTTTTCTTAATTAGTGATAGATAAGGGAGAGAGAGCCCAGACCATTGTGGGTGGGGACATCCTGGGCTGGTAGTCCTGGGTTCTATAAGAAAGCAGGCTGACAGATAGGGTCCCAACACCGAGAGGGAAACTGTACTTGAGGCCTCATCCCTAATCCAAAAGCTATCTCCAGTTGACAACCACTCACAAAGGAAAACATAGTTTCTTCCAGTAAAGTCTCATTGGATGTATTAAACCACACTGAAGGCAGGCCCCATGCCCAGCAGTAGATAGCCAACACAAAACGATCTCAGTGGAGTTTTTGGAGAAGTTTTGTCTCACAATGCTTTGCTAGGGTGTTTTTCTTTTTTAACCTTACCAGTCTTTTGGTTATTTATTATGGTTTCCGATTTTGTGTTTCTATGGTGTGTGTGTGTGTGTGTGTGTGTGTGTGTGTGTGTGTGTGTGTGTATGCACATGTACGTGTGTGTTTCTCATGCTTTTTCTTTTTTTATTCTGCTTGTCTGTTTTGTTTTATACTGATGGTTTATTAGCCTGTTTGTTTTGTAAAGAAAGAGAAAAAGATATGGAATTGGATGAGTGGGTAGTGGGGGGGGGGTGGTCTGGGAGGAGACAAGGGAAGAGAAACCATGATTAAAATATATTATATTAAAAAATGTATTTTCAATTTAAAAAAAGCATGCTGAGCAAGCCATGAGGAAGAAGCCTTAAGAAGCACCCCCTCCACAGCCTCTGCATCAGCTCCTGCCTCTGGGTTCCTTCCCTGTTTGAGTTCCTGCCCTCACTGCTTTCAATGATTGATCAGCTGTTATTTGGGAGTATGGATGAAATAAACCCTTTCCTCTCCAAGTAGCTTTTGATAATAGTGTTTCATCACAGCAACAGAAACCCTGACTAAAACAATCTTCCTGCTCAAACTCAAAGTGAAGATCAATTCTGTCCATTCATTCTCTGAAACTGTTGCAAACCCAAATTCCTGTAGAAAGGAAACACTGTATTTTTTTCACTTGCTGAATAACACTTATCCTGTGTGCTCCAACACTGTCTAATAGCCACGAAGACAGACACTTTCTTCTCCCACATAAACAGAGACTAGAATATTCTTAATTGGGGATGAGGGACTTTAGCAGTCTATGCAAGGCACATCCCTTTTCATCACAATTCCAATCTTTGGACTTCATACTTTGAAAATCTACCAAAGCCAGGC